TGTAACTGCTCATGCCTTGTGTCAGTCTCCCAGAATTCCTTAACATGTCTTGAAGCAGCTACCTGTCTGGTGATGACAAAGGAGATGTCTTCAGTCTCCAGCATGAAGCAAAATAAAGGCAGCCTTCTCAGGGATCAGGTTTTTGGCCCAAAGAAGGTTGATGGAAATATCAAGGACTCACCTCTTTTGCCATTATAAACACGTTGTTCCACTAGCCTAGTGGAATGGACTAGCAACCACTCCTTCCAAGGACCATAGGCCTGCCATAACCTACAGGTCATTAACTGGGGAAACAAATTTTGACTGTAACTGTACTTGGCTTTGACATGCTAAAATCATTTAGAAGATTTTTTTTTCACATAAAACCTTTATTTCACACTTATTGCAGAATTCTATTTTAAAGGATAGGGTTGCATATTTTTTTTTCTGATTAGCTTTTCTAATCTTTCCCTAACCTTGGACTTACATATAAAAAGAAATGAGAGAGAGGGGGTTAAAAAGAGAAAGAAGAGGGAGAGGGAGAGGTAGAAGGGGAGCAAGGAAAGGCGAGAGAAAGACTTAAGATTGATCACAATAAAGATATCAAAACAGTAAACATCTGTAACTAACAGAAAAACAGAAGTAGAAGTCTTTGAAATATAGTGCTCATTTGGTCCCTACTCCTGATTATAATCTCATTCTATAGGTAAGACAATAAAAAGTTAAAACATCTACTTAAGAAAATAGTCAGAATGAAAATATCCCAATTACAGGAGTGGTGACTAACAATGTGTTAGTCTTAGTTCCACACTAAAGTTTGTTTTCAGTATCTGAGGTAGCCTTTCATTCTTCCTCCCACCCATACTCCTCAAAAAACAGGTCTCTGTGTGTCCTTCCTTACCTTAAGATTCCACTTTGTTTCTTAGAGGCTTAACTTTGGCTTTAAAGTAATAGTAACTGTTTTTATGTAATTTTTGTCTGTTTTATTGTCTTTCTTATGAATATACATTTATGTGGATTATCTCCATATACCATTAACCTTTTCTTATCTTAATGACTTTATATGAAAGAATAACCTGAAAAGATTCAAGAAATGTTCTTTAGTGCTTCCTGTGAGAGTCCACGTGGCTGCTTCTGGCAGTGACTTTATATATTTTTTTGATTCTTTTTATCTTCTTTTTTTTATTGTGAAAATACCATACAGAGGGATTACAATTACATGGGCAAGGTAATGAGTACATTTCTTATCAAGCATTGTTGCTTACTCCTTTGTTTCCCTTTCCCTTGCCTTCCCATCTCCCCTCCCCACCTCGCCTTTTTCCCTCCTTCACCCCCTCTCCCCCTCCCCCAGCCAAAGTTGAAAAGTTCGTTTTTTGACATAATGTCTTGTAGGTCACATTGTTGCAATGGGTCCACCTGTATCCCTATTTAAACAATTGTTTTTTCCCTTCCCCTCCACAAATTATACCAACATCAAATACAGTGAAAACAGGGGTTATACCGTGAGGGACAGACATACAAAGCAACAAAGAAATCATCTTATAAATATGTTAGAAACAATCACAAGAAAGAAAAGTGACTTTATATTTAGATCTGTTCTTAAACTCAAACTTTGAAAATCAGAGAACATATGACTCTGAGACATGCTCATAAAAGAACTAAGAAATTTAAACTTTTCTTCATTACTTAATTGTAATATAATTATAATGTGATAATTATAATAATGGTTAACATTTACTGAGAATTTACTAATCAAGATAACTGCATTTTCTCATTTAAACATCAAACCCACAAGAGCATGATAATAGTCCTTATATCTCTATAGTGATTTATGTTCTGTCACACCATTTTATCTATATTTTATCTATCCTGTAGTTTGGCATAGCAAATATTAACATGCAGGCAGTTGACAATTCAGACTAATCTCAGATCTCTTAAATGATTTGTGTAAAATAAACTATTAACAGAACTGGCCTTTATTTTCTGGGCTAACTTTTCTCAGGCTTCTTCCTAAGCACATCCTCTAGTCATATAAAGGTTCCATTATCCACATGGTTCTAATTTCCAACCACTTAGGTCAACCCATTGAAGGAGAGGCACCTCATACTAGGCTTTCAGAGTTACTCTTGACAGCCACACAGGCTAGTCAGAAATGAGCAGGGCTGGATCAAGTTTAGGTACCTGACCTACCTGAGGAGGTGCTCAACCTCTAGGATTTCTCTATCTTCACCTGTATACCTGCAATAAGTAAAAATGACTTCTAAAGTCTTAGCCCTTGTGTTCTCTGATTTTATGTAATCTTCTTAAAATGGCAGCCTTCTGCTAAGGATGAAAATGAGGAGAGCTTAAAAAAATTCATTTTGGCCTATCCTTGAAAGTAACTAGCAAAACATTAAAATATAATGTGTTTTTGTGCCTTTTTTTGCCATACAGGGGTTTGAACTCAGGACCTAGAGTTTGTTTGATTTGCTTGTCCTGCCAGCACTCTACTACTTGAACCATGACTTCAGCCCTGCTTTTTGCTATTATTCTCAAGATTAGATCTTGTGAACTGTCCAAGCCAAGCTGGATTTGAACCCAGTCCACCAAATCTCAACCTTCTGTCTGAGTAGCTTGGATTACAGGAATAAACGACCAGTGCCCAGTACAAAATAATGTTTAACATTACTCTATGAATAAAATTAAGAGAACAGATTTATTTTCAGTAACATCAGAATGAATGAAATATGTAAGAACAAACTTAACAAAGTGAGTGCCAATTTTTTTCTCAGAAAATTAGTATGTTTTGCTTTCTTTTTTTGGATTTGAACTCAAAGCCTCATACTTATTTGGAAGATGCTCTACCACTTGAGCTATAACCCCTCCCCTTTGGCTTTATTTATTTTTTAGAAAGAGTCTCATGGTGTTTTGGGGGGTAGGGGCCAACCTGAAGACTGTGACCCTCTTACTTGTGCCTCCTATGTAGCTGGGATTACAGATGTGCACCACAGATGCCTAACTTGTTTACGGAGAAGAGATATCGCTTACTTTGCCTCTACTGAGCTTGAATTTCAGTCCTACCTACACTTACTGTGTAGCTGAGATTATAGACATGTTCCACAAACACCTGACTTTTTTGTTGAGATGGAGTCATAGTAATTTTTTCCCTTGGCTGGCTTGAAACTATAAGCTTTCCAATCTTTACTTCTATAGTAGCTAGGATTATAGGCATGAGCCACCATACCTAGCTACTACAAAACATTTTTGAGGGAAATTTTAGAAGACCTAAATAAGTAGGCAGCGTGTGTTCCTAGAGCAGAAGTCATAAAGTTGTTAGGAGGGAAATATTCTCTCATACAGATGTATAGATTTAATACCATCAAAATCCCACCTCCCCAAAAAAACCCAGTTGTCATTATGGAAAAATCAATAAGCTAGTCCTAAAATTAACATAGATTTTTTTCTTATTTTAAATGATCTTTATGTACTTGTCCTATTGCTTTGTCATTTAGCAAAGCAGCTTATGAATATAGTACATCTTGATCAATGTCAGCCCTTTCAACAAATTTAAGGAATGAAATACTTTTTTTTTTTTTTAGTCGGTCATGGGGCTTGAACTCTGGGCCTGGGCATGGTCCCTCAGCTCTTCAGCTCAAGGCTAGCACCACGTGAGCCACAGAGCCACTTCTGGCTTTTTCTGTTTATGTGGTGCTGAGAAATTGAACCCAGTGTGTCATGCATGTGAAGCAAGTGCTGTACCACTGAATCACGTCCCCAGCCCCATGAAATATTTTCAAAAAGAATAAAGTTAGAAAGGAAGCTTATCCTTCCTAATTTTTAGACTTTTCAATAAAATTACAAAATCAAGTCTCTGATACTGACATAAGGATAGGCATATAGATCAATGAATAAAATGGAAAGAAATAAACAGTTTCATTCATTATTGATTTTTTGCAAAGGTGCCATGACAATTGAATGGAAAAATAACCTTTTAAACAGATATTACCAGAATAGCTGGATATTTGCATGCAAATAAATATACCATAGAAAGCAAATGTAGGCATATCTTGTCAAAATTAAACTTTTGTGTTTCAAAAGGTGCTATTGAGTAAGTGAAAAGGCAGCCTACAGAGTGAAAGGAAGCTTTCTCAAATTAGATATTTGGTAAGAAAAATGGATTCAGAACCCCTACAAATTTTATAATTAAAAGATAAGTTAACCTGTTAAAAAATGGCAGAGGGCCTGAATAGACATTTTCCCTCAAAAGATATATGAACGTCCAATAAGCACATGAAAAGATAGATTCTTGACATCTTAAGTTACTAGAGAAATGAAACAAAACAGAGATCCCTGTGTTGATGAGTGGGTAAACAAAGTTCAGGAGCTCATTTCTGTAGGTAACACTTACATGAAGTAAGTACAATACAGAGAAACTTTTGAATTGAACAAATATCCTATATATTTGGATGGCTGGACATGTTTCTACATGAGTGATCACTTCTTATATTACTAAGAGAAAGTCCCCCCAAATTTCTTTTTGGTTCCCTTTACCTGTGAACTAAGTTGCTTTCCTTTTTTCCATGAGCCCTAAAGTAGCTTTATTAATAGAAATATATGATATTTGTGTTTTAAAAAAATCAGGGTGGTCTTAGATATCTGTCTTCCATTCTGGCATTTCCCTTTACACAACCATTTAGAATTTTCTGTTTAAAAACTGGCATTCTAATAGCTTTTCTTTGGCTAAAAGCCTAGGTTGTAGACTGAAGCAGCAAATTAGGAATGTTAAGACTTCCCCCAAAGAAAAAATGTTTGTTATGAAAGTGGAGCTGATGTGACACTTAGAATTAGAGATTCTTAACTTGTCTAAATGTCAGTTAATGATCTTTTTCTTTTGCTATTTGGTGGGAAGAAAAGATGGTGTTGCAAGGGGGGTGCGGGGGAGGGAATGAAAGAAATGCCCAGAGGCTGGTAATAGGTTTGGTTCAACAAAGTGTTAAATGTCAGATACACTCTGCTAATAATAATCTTTTGTCTCTTTTTAGGAGCTAATTTTGTTACTCGAAAAATTAGTCGGTCAGTAGCTAAGATTTACCTTGGACAACTGGAATGTTTCAGTTTGGGAAATCTGGATGCCAAACGAGACTGGGGCCATGCCAAGGACTATGTAGAGGTAGGAACTGATTCATTCCATTCTTACAAAATGTCTGGATCAGTTGTTTTAAATGCCAGACCTTAGTGCAAAGCATGACTTAGAGATGGTGGCATGTATACTTCTGCTGTTGCACATATTGTTAAATTCATGGTACTTTCAGTTAAGGCTTGATGGCTCAGGAGTACATGTTGATTACATTGAGTGTTTTTAATTGATTAAAAGAAAGGTGTTGCTCAGTGCTTTGAATGATGGATAGGTAGCTGGATGAGAAAGTGTTGCTCTTCCTCACTTTCTCAAGCTTTCATTCTGTCCCATTTGTTTCAGATTCTACCTCCTCCCTACTTAGCACTTGGTCATGAACCTGGAAAACTGTGTTGAATAAAAGTACTAATTCTCAGCACTTTAAAAATTAAAGTCTAGTCTCAATTTATGTAGTTTTAAGACATTTAGATTTGTATTCGTGAATGAAATTCCTCTCAGAGACTTAGGGAACTTTGGTTTTGTACTAAGTCTTATAACACCATAAGCTTCTTACCACTGAATACCAATGAGCTTTGTCTGAAAGAGAGGAGGGGGGAAGGGAGGGAGGAAGAGGGAGGGAGAGGTGTTAATAGTGATACTATCACAGAATAATGGATATAATTTTATCCCCATGATGGATCTATGGCCAAACATGAACAGTCATGGTAGAGACTCTTTTCCCCAGAGTTGCTTGTTCTTATTCACCTGTGTACAGACTTCCAGTGCTCACAGGAATCTTTCTGTACTGAAGAATTTTATCTGGGAAATCTGATCTGCCTTTCTATTCTTTTTTTTTTTGTCGTGGGGCTTGAACTCTGGGCCTGAGCACTGTTCCTCAGCTCTTCAGCTTAAGACTAGCACTCTATCACTTGAGCTACAGCGCCACTTCTAGTTTTCTGGTGGTTTATTGGAGACAAGAATTTCATGGACTTTCCTGCCCGGGCTGCCTTTGAACCAGGATCCTCAGATCTCAGCCTCCTGAGTAGCTAGGATTACAGGTGTGAACCACTGGTGCCAGGCTTGATCTGCCTTTCTTGTATACTTCTGTAATTTAAAAAGTAACTTGAAATTTTGCAAAAAAGAAAGTAGGTGGTTAACTTGCTAACATTAAGATTCATTTTCTTAAGTTACAATTTTATGGGTTTTTTATTTTTACAACTATATATATATATATATATATATATATATTTGAACATGTGACACTGATTTATGTATAGAAATTCTTGTGTGAAATTTTGAGCAGTGCAATATTTCAGTCTTTTAATAGGGTCTTCTAAGTATAATTACAAGGAACATTTGCAGCTGTAGTCCTTAGAAATATATTAAGAATATTACATACTTTTGGAAATTAGGAGAAAGAAAAGAGATGGGAATAGGAAGAGCTAAAATATTATTGTCCAACTGTTGCCTTTCCAACTGAAAAGCAGGAAACAAGTTTTATTAAAAATAAATAAATAAATAAATACAGTACTTTCCTAGTCATATTAATCTCTATGTGCTTAGTGCTACATGGAAAGCTGTATACAAAATCTTTTCTTAATTCAAGAAGGAGATAGACAAATTCTATTCCATTTTAGTGTACTCAGGCAAGAAATAAGCTTGTAGTTAAATGAAGAAGTCCATTTCAAAAGGGAAATTCTGTAGCAATATATTATGCTTATTATTGTTTCTTCTTCATGCTTTTTAAATTTTCATATCTTTAAAATTGACAACATGTGAAGCTTGCAATTGGGAAGGGGAAATGATACTCTAAAAATAGAAAAAGTCCAATAAAAAGGAATGAAACAAATATGTATGTCAAGAGAAAACCTTTTGTTAACTAGTGGCTCTGCAATCAATTTTTACAATTGCTTGACAAAATGTTATTACTGTGATGAAGTGCCTGAAGGCCAAAACATCTGAGATTAAGGTATTCAGCCCTTTTAATAAAAATGTGAAACTGTCACATTCCAGAGACACTCAGTGTTAAGGGGTTCTTCACATCCAAGACTTGATCTGTTTGATAAGACAAGTGAGCTTTGAGTATTAAAGATTCTTTTGGGGTTCTAAAATATAGTACATATTGGTGATATAAGAAGTTTTTTTATAGTTTTTATTCATGTGCTCCCAATAAAATCTAAATTTCATGATTTCTTAAAAGGCAGAATTATTTTTAATATGTTTTTATTGTAAAATAATGTACAGAGGGGTTACAGTTACATGAGTAAGGTAATGAGTACATTTCCTATCGAGCATTGTTGCCTCCTCTTTTGTTTTTCCCCAATCATCCCTCCCCTCCCCACCACCCCAACACCTCCCTCCCTCCCCCCCCCAACAAGTTGTAAAGTGTCTTTTCAACATAGTGTCATGTACATCTCATTGTTACAATGGGTCAACCTGTATCCCTATTTAAGCATTTTGGTATTTCCCTTCCTCTCCCCAAATTAGAAAAGTGTATACAAGATGCAGGATACCCAAATCATATACAATGAAAACAAGGGTTACACCATGGGGGAAGAAAATATAAAAAGAAACAAAAAAACCACATAGTATATTCTAAGTACATTAAAAACAATAATAACAAGAAAAAAAACACTTGTGTCCCTTTCTTGGGATTCATTTCACTTAACATAATCTTATATGGTCATATGTACATAGCTTTTGACCTTTTCTGCTTGTCCTAGACATATACTAGTTATTGCAAATAAGGGAAACCATGGGACCTATGTTTCTTTGGACCTGGATTACTTCACTTAATATAATTTTTTCCTAATCTTTCCATTTCCTAACAAATGGGACAGTGTCATTCTTTCTGATGGAGGCATAAAATTCCACTATATATATGTATGTATGTATGCACCACATTTTCTTGATCCATTCATCTACTGAGGGACATCTGGGTTGGTTCCATATCTTAGCTATGGTAAATAATGCTGCAATAAACATAGCAGTGCTAGTAGCTTTAGTATGGTCTTGTTTATGGTCATTTGGGTAAATGCCCAAAAGTGGGATTGCTGGGTCATAGGGGAGCTCTAGGTAGAGTCCTTTGAGGAACCTCCATACTGCTTTCCAAAGTGGTTGAACAAATTTACATTCCCACCAACAATGCAGTAGGGTTCCCTTTTGGCCACATCCCCTCCAGCATCTGTTGTTATTAGCTTTCTTTTTTTTTTTCCAAGTATTTCATGAGGATTTTATTTTTTTTATTTTATTTGTGAACATACTATACAGAGGGGTTACAATTACATGGGCAGGATAATGCGTACATTTCTTACCAAGCATTGCAGCCTCCTCCTTTTGTTTACCCTTCACATCCCTTCCCA